CGCCGGCGTTGGTGCGACTGCGCAGAGCAAGGGCGGCCCCTACGCAGCCACTTCCGGTTTTTCCCGCAAGCGCCTCCCTGAGTCCGTCCAGGATCCCACATGATTGGTTCCATATTCCCCCTCGTCTCCTCCCATCCTCCAGAATTCAGCGTCTCCCCTTGTCTTTTGTGACTTACATGCTTCTTGCTGTGCAGCGGTTCAGCTGTTTTGCAGAATCGGCCTGGGTTTCATTTGCACCGTGTGTTCTCCTGACTGGGGTGAGGCTGTGGAATTTTGGCGGGAGCCCCTCAGGAGCCCAGCTGTGCCTCCCAAGTGTCCAGTCGCGGCGTCCTGAGGTGGGGTCGTCTGTCAGTGGGGACATGGGCCGGGGTCCTTCGATGGTGATGAGCGTCTTGGGGAGCTGCTCTTCTCGGAGATGCGAATGCTGCTTCTCTCCATCTTCCACCCAGCAGCTTCCACATCCATCGTGGGACCTCCCTGCACCCTCGCTATGGTGGAGTTTAACCGTGACTCTTTGTTGACTCACTGGCTGGCTTCTCAGAGATGCCCATGCTGCTTCTCTCCATCTTCCACCCACCGGCTTCCACATTCATCGGGGGACCTCCCTGTCCCCTGGCTACTGTGGAGTTTAACCTTGACGCTGTTAACTCACCTGTGGACTTCTCAGAGATGCGAATGCTGCTTCTCTCCATCTTCCACCCAGCAGCTTCCACATCCATCGGGGGACCTCCCTGCCCCTTCATTACTGGAGTTTAACCGTGGCTCTGTGTTGAATCACCGGTGGGCTTCTCCAGTGAGAAGGAGCTGGCCCTTCCACTCTGCACATGCATTTATTTGATTATTTACTTATATCAGTATGGACTCATGAGTATTTATACGCTATGGCACAAAATACGTTTTAAAAAATATTGTTGCCTCAGTTGTCCCACGCTGGCCCTTGGAAGCTCCTTCAGGCTGGACAGGCTCTTCGTTGTGTTCTTTTGACAAACACACACCCTCTCTGGGGGCACGTCCCTGGTTCCCGGAACACAAGATACTCTAAGCAGGTCCTGGATTTTCCCTGCCTCAGCCCTGGCACCCGTCAGTTCTCCAAGGACCCCAGGTCTCGTTGATTCCAATCTAACAACACAGGGTTTATTTTAGCCTGAGTTGTTCATTGTCTTCAGGAGTGAAAAGATGTCTCTCCTTGTTTATATTTACATATTGTTTGATTCTAGTTTCAGAATTGCAAACCCACATGCTACGATAAGTACCTTTACTCACTAGATTGCAGTGTCTGCACCCAGTCAAGGCTGTTTCCGGGGTGCCTGGGTCGGTTGCATCTCCCTGCCCTCCAGGATCTTTCCCTCTGCAGTGTGTGAGACTCATTTGTCTGTGACCATCGTCCATCCCAGCTTACCCCCAGCTAAGGTCCTGGTGGGTCACAGTCACTCGTTTCTGGAGCAGATGGAGGGATGGGGAACATCACGATTGTTCTTCAAATCAAAGCTATCAGAAAAGAGACTCAGCAAAAATGCTCAGCCTCTCCCTGTCCTGACACCCCTTCCCACTCCCTGGTACCCCCACCGTGCAGGAACCGGTTTCTAAGGCTTCTGGTTCAGTTAGTGATCAGGCAGCAGCTGTGTGTGATCCTGTTCCCCTTCCTTCTCTCGTGTGGGAGCACTGGAGACAGATGTTCTTAGGGCTTCTCTCTCACTGGATAGTCCACCCTGGAAACCCGTCTGCTTCTCCTCACAGGGACCCTCCTCCTTCCTCAAGCCACACAGCGCCCTGTGATGTGAATTCACCTGTTCATTCAACCCACCCTTCCACACGACAGAATGTGCAATGTACGTGACAAGTAGTTTCTCTGTTAGTTGCCCTTGACTTGTTGTTTTGGTCATGCATTTAAAGTGGTTTATTTGTCAAATTTATCAGTCTTTTTCCTTTGTTACCTCCAGATTTTGAGTCATAGTCAAACTTTCTCTGAACCAACGTTAAAGTATTTATTCATTGTTTTCTTCGAGTAGTTATGTGGTTTCCTGTTTAAATATGGAGATCCCTGGTCCATTGGGAGTTAATTCTTATGTACAATGTGAGATGGAAACTTAATTCTGTCCTTTTCCAAACAGCTGCCCAGTAGTCCCAGGATCCGTTAAGAAAATGACCATCTTCATCCCGGAGCTTAGAGACTCCCCTCTGTCATGGACTAAATTTTCACCATATTTGGGTCTATTTCTGGAATTTCTGTTTATGAACCACACTTTCGTGATTTTAGAGGTTTGTGGTACTGTCTGATGGGGCCTCTATTTCTGAAAAGCTTTTCATAGATTTTACTTTTAAACATTAGTTCCTGTACACTTTTTGTTCCTCTCAGGCATCCGATGATGTGGGCCCAAGTCCTCCTCTTCCTGCCTCCACACACGCTTCATTCTTCTCAGGCATCCGATGATGTGGGCCTGAGTCCTCCTCTTCCTGCCTCTGTACACTCTTCATTCTTCTCAGGCATCTGATGATGTGGGCCCGAGTCCTCCTCTTCCTGCCTCCTGTCACCACCACTTTCCCTGACACTCTGTTTTGTCATTTACATTCTCTTGGTAGTTTTTCTGCCTTTCTTTGATGTCCCCTATCACATTTCCATTTGAGATTTGAGTCTATTTTCCTCAGGCACCTTTAAATGTATTATTTTAAGAGCACTTTTAGGTCTACAGTAAAACTGAGCAGAAAATACAGAGAGCTCCCATATAGACGTATGACCCCCTCTGAGACACACATGATCCTGTTATTAATACCTTGCATTGGTGTGGTACAGAGAGCTCCCATATAGACATATGACCCCCTCTGAGACACACATGGTCCTGTTATTAATACCTTGCATTGGTGTGGTGCAGAGAGCTCCCATATAGACGTATGACCCCCTCTGAGATACACATGGTCCTGTTATTAATACCTTGCACTGGTGTGGTGCAGAGAGCTCCCATATAGACGTTCGACCCCCTCTGAGACACACATGGTCCTGTTATTAATACCTTGCATTGGTGTGGTGCAGAGAGCTCCCATATAGACGTAGAACCCCCTCAGAGGCACACATGGTCCTGTTACTGACACCGTGCATTAGTGTGGTGCATTTGCCATAGCTGATGAAACAATACTGATAAATTATCATTAACTAATGTCCATGGTTTACATCAGGGTTAACACTTGGTGCACATTCCAGAGGTTTTGAAAATGTGTAATGACGTGTGCCATGCAGAGGTGTGCCCCCTAACACAGTGCCACGCAGAGGTGTGCCCCCTACCACAGTGCCACCTAAGATTCTCTGTGCTCCAGCGGTTCACCCCTCCCTTCCCACAACCTCGAACCATGGATTTCTTTCACTGTCTTCAGAGTTTTGCCTTTTCCCAAAGGTCCTGCAGTTGGAACCATAGGTTGGGGTCTTTTCACAGGGGCTGCTTTCACTACGAATGTGCGCTGAAGCTCTCCACAGTGTGCGTGGCTCGTGGTCCAGCTCTTTCCAGTGCTGGATTCTCTGCAGTGTCTGGCGTACCACAGTTTTGTAGGAAGCCCCCACACCATCTTCCGCAGCAGCTGGGCCATTTGCATTCCCCCCAGCAGGAACGAGCGTTTCTGTTCCACGTCCCTATGGCTGCTGGTGGGGCTCAGGTTGGAGTCAAGCTGTTCTATGAGGTGCTCCTTCATTATGCAAAGAGTTCTTATAACTCACACGGAAGATTATTATTGTGTGTGGTACGTGTTCTTTATTTCTAAGATAACTTTGTCTTTTTCTTCCATTTATTTCCTGAGTTAAATCAATTATTTTTATTACTCTGTTTTTCGCCCATATCTTACATTTCTACATTTCTGATTCAAGGTGGCTTTTCAGATCTTCCAAGGCTGGCTTGAGGATGTCTAATTTCTCAGGGGTGTTGACTTACATGTTTCTCTGCCTCGTGGCTGCTTTTGGGGAGCTTTCTTCATTCGGCTTTGGTGAACATTTGCCCCCTGGTTTCCCGACACAGCTCTGTGTAAATTGTCTTTCTCCCTCTCTTTGGTGACGGTGGGTGACATAGAAGGCTCTGGCCTGATGGCGCCCAGCTCCTCCAGTCCCGCAGTGCCGGGGGCTTCTGTGCTGCTGTTCTCAGCGGGAGGGTCTGCACCTCAGCTGTGGGGTCCGCTTCTGTCTTGCAGTCCCAAAGTCATCCTGTTTTCCTTTGCTCCCCTTCTCCACCATCCCCCTTCTTCTCCCCCAGGAACTCTGTGTTTGGGAGACTGGACCGTAAGTCAGGCCTCTGCCCTGGGGTCTGGCTGTGAATGGGTGGGCTCTGCCTCCTGGGCTTGCTCCCTGCCCTGTGGGCCTCAGTGACGCTGGCCCCGGCTCCACCTCTCAAGGGCATCTGTGCAGGTCTGTGGCTCTACCTCCTTCATTCTCAGTGACTCTCTGTCCTCTGGGGACGTGGGATGCTTGCCCCTCCCAGGGGCATTCCTCAAGCTCCTTTCCTCATCGGGCCTTGCAGGGACTCACAGGCAGCCTGCACCCCCGAGCTCCTCCTCCTGCTTTAAATGCCAGCTTCCCGAGCCTGCGAGCTGCTGGAGGCTGGGCCGGGTCTTAAGGTCTCTGCATCTCCAGTGCTGGTCACAGCTCAGGCAGGGGTGTCTGAGGCAGACGTCCTGCGCCATCCTCCGTTCACGGCACCCTGTATCCAGTTGTGATGTCTAAAGGCCAAGCAGCAGCCAGCGAGTCGGCCAGGCCCGGGAGGACATCACACCGAGCACCCAGACCCCTCAGTGGGCACCTGGACTTCGGTAGGAGGAGGCCACCCAACCTAGAACACAAATAATTCGGGTTCTGTCCTTTAATATGAGACGTATAACCATGAGGTCATTTTTTCTACATTTCAGAAAAGGAATTTTCTTAAAAGCAGCATAGGGGTGTGTTTGTACCGAGGGTTCGCCCAGTTAAGATGGATTTTAATAGTTTCTCCTCTTTCCCGTTTTCTTCATGTGTCTTTCTCCACAAACAGGAGCTGGGGGCTGGACCCCACTCGTATCAAATAAGAACCAATGGCTGCAGATCGACCTTGGAGAGAGGGTGGAGGTCACGGCGGTGGCGACGCAGGGCGGGTACGGGAGCTCCGACTGGGTGACCAGCTACATCCTGATGTTCAGCGACAGCGGCAGGAACTGGAAGCAGTACCGGCGGGAGGACAGCATCTCAGTAGGTCCCTGGTGGGAGGACAGCGTCTCAGTGGGTCGTGGTGGGAGGACAGCATCTCTATGGGTCCTGGTGAGAGGACAGCGTCTCAGTGGGTCATGGTGGGAGGACAGCATCTCTATGGGTCCTGGTGAGAGGACAGCATCTCCGTAGGTCCTGGTGGGAGGACAGCATCTCGATGGGTCCTGGTGGGAGGACAGTATCTCGATGGGTCCTGGTGGGAGGACAGCATCTCCGTAGGTCCCTGGTGGGAGGACAGTGTCTTGGTGGGTCCCCAGTGGGAGGACAGCGTCTCGATGGGTCCTGGTGGGAGGACAGTGTCTCGGTGGGTCCCCAGTGGGAAGACAGCATCTCGATGGGTCCTGGTGGGAGGACAGCGTCTCGGTGGGTCCCCAGTGGGAGGACAGCATCTCTGTAGGTCCTGGTGGGAGGACAGCGTCTCTGTAGGTCCTGGTGGGAGGACAGCATCTCCGTAGGTCCCTGGTGGGAGGACAGTGTCTCGGTGAGTCCTGGTGGAAGGACAGCATCTCAGTAGGTCCCTGGTGGGAGGACAGTGTCTCAGTAGGTCCCTGGCAGGAGGACAGTGTCTCAGTAGGTCCCTGGCAGGAGGACAGCGTCTTGGTAGGTCCCTGGTGGGACAAGAGCATCTCAGTAGGTTCCTGACGGGAGGACAGCATCTCGGTGGGTCCCTTCCTGGCATCACTGGCTCCTAGGGCCTGGCTTGCAGGAATGTCCCCAGGGAGCCCTGGAGGGCTTGGCTCTGGTAGAGAAAAAGCAGCTCCAGGATTTCCTGGCCAAGGTTTCCTGCATTTTGAGATGCACAAAACATGCACAGTTTAGTAAGTATGTAATAGTAAAACAGTTCCATGGCGTAGTGGGAAACGGGAAGAAAACCCGGGGTTTCTACTAAAACCATGGGCAGGATCACGTGTAACCAACCTGTGTTTTGTGCTGTCATGTGGAGGTTGGAGGAAAGCCTGGGGTTTCTACTAAAACCATGGGCGGGATCGTGTGTAACCAGCCTGTGTTTCGCACAGTCATGTGGAGGGTGGTGTTGGGGCCACATCGCTTCACATGAACCCAGTGAGCACAGCCTGACCCCAAATTCTTTGGCCTGAACTTCTGAAAGACACGGATGGACCCGTCTCCCTGTGGACAACTGTTCTGTGGACTCTGTCCTCTGTCCCACGGCCACATTCAGTAGGTTTTTGGGCAGAGACTGCCTTGAGATTCAATGACCTTGTATCTCTGGTCCCTAAATTGTCACACACCTGTGCTTCTTTGGGGCAAAATGTTTTTGTTTGCCTAGCTTGTGACTTTTAACAAGACATGCGATTTTCTGCATATCTTTCATTACGTAGTTACTGAAGTATCCCAGACACATTAGTTTAACGTTGCTGAGCCTGGAGAGTGGTTTAAAATGTTCAGTTTTGTGGCTGAAGTGAAGCCCCAGTAAAGGAGACACTGGTGACCATTGTTTACAAACAGCGGCCACCACAGAACCGAGGGCGCGGGTGGTGGATGTTTGTGAGTGGATGTTAAGGGGAGCTCATGTGAGGGGCTGTGGCCAGGGCAAGGCATCAGCCTTCACTTAAAACACCAGCTGAAGGCAACAGGGACTGGAGGAGGCCGCGAGCTCCGTGCCACACTCGGGCAGCTCTGCATTTCCTCTTTGGGGACACCCTGACAAGAAGGGAAAACAGAGGTTCTCGGCAAAGCTCCCGTCACCAGCACAGATGAGCCAGAGAGCCCAGGAGCGGCTCTAATGGGTCAACCACGTCCCCTGCATGGACCTCCCGGACCCCGGCTCTGTGTCCTTCGTGGATGGAGGATGTGGGCTGGGTTGGCCCTGGGATAAGTCAGGACTGGGACTACCCTGGCCAAAGCAGAGGGAGGGGACATGAATGAGGGGTCAGCCACCCCCGTCCTGGGAACAGATGCCAGACCAGCTGTGACTCTAGTTACAAATCGAGTAGTAACTTCAAAGACAGGCCACCACTGCGGGATGCACGTCAGCACTAATTATATTAAGATTGGGTTGTTGGCACAATTTAAAAAGAACAAAGGGGAGCTGGAGACACTGTGGGAATTCTCAACTTCCTGTTCCAGCTGTGCTCTCGGCATCCCTCTTCCTGCTGACTCCTCAGGGGAAACAGCATCAGGACCAAGCCCAGGCCACACTGAGAGGGATGCACCAACTGCAAAGGGTGTGACTGCACTGTCATCGTGGCCCTCATCTGTCCAGTATTCCTGTGAGGCCCCTGTAATTATAAGCAGATGCCATGTATGGTTTGGCTTTTAAAAATTGTGGCACTATATATATAACAAAAAAATTACCATTTTATTCGTTTTCAAGTGTGTAATTCAGTGACCTAAGTGTCATATTGTTGTGCAAACATGGACACCATTCATCTCCAGGACTTTCTCATCTTCCCAAACCGAGACTGTCCCCATTAAACACTCACTCCCTATCCAACCCCTCCACCCCCGGCACCTCCATCCCACTCACCGTCTCTGTGACTTTGACGACTCTAGGGACCTCATAGAAGTGGAATCAGACAGTATTTGTCTTTTATGATTAGCTTCCTCCACTTAGCACCACACCCTCAGGTTTCACCACATCGTACATGTGTCAGAATGTCCTTTTGAAGGGTAAATCACTCTGTTGTATGGATAGACCACATTTTGTTTGTCCGTTCACCCATTGAGGGACTCTTGGTTGTTCCCATGTTTTCACTATTATGAATAATACTGCTGTGAACATGGGTGTACAAGCATCTCTTTACAAGCTGCTTTCAATTCTTTTGCATACATATCCAGAAGCAGCACTGTTGGATTATGTGGTAGAACCATGTTTTCATCTTTTGAGGAAACGCCCTACTGTTTTCCATAGTGGCTGCATCATTTCACATCCCCAGCCACGCACACCGCCGCCCTGCTGTACCGACACTGGGTGTGGCGTGTGTTGGTTAGTAGCAGCGGCACTGTTGGGGGTGAGGTGTTGTCTCACTGTGGCTCTGAGCTGCGTCTCTGGACAGTGAGTGATGCCGAGCGTGCCACTTGCTGGTGGAGCCTCCGTGTGTCTTCTTTGGAGAAATGTCTATTCAGGTCCCTTGTCAACTGTTAAAATCAGATCATTTTTACTGCTATTGTTTAACTGTGGGAGCTCATTCTGTATTGTGGATATTAACCCTCTGTCATCTGTGTTATTTGTCGGGTTTTCTCCTGTTCCATGAGTGGTGTCTCGGTTGCTGACACCATCTTTCGATGCACCCGTGTATTCAGTTCTATTTGCTGGGTTTTCTCCCGTTCCATGAGTGGCCTCTTGGTTGCTGACACCCTCTTTCACCCAGGCTGGAGTGCAGTGGTGCCATCTCGGCTCACTGCAAGCTCTGCCTCCCAGGTTCATGCCTCCCAGGTTCATGCCATTCTCCTGCCTCAGCCTCCCGAGTAACTGGGACTACAGGCACCCGCCACCACGCCCAGCTAATTTTTTATATTAATTAGTAGAGACGGTATTTCACTGTCTTAGCCAGGATGGTCTCGATCTCCTGACCTCATGATCCACCTGCCTTGGTCTCCCAAAGTGCTGGGCTTACAGGCGTGAGCCACCGTACCTGGCCTGCTGACACCGTCTTTTGATGCACCTGCATGTTTGGTTCTATTTGCCTGGGTTTTCTTCTGTTCCATGAGTGGCGTGTTTGTTGCTGACACCATCTTTCGATGCACCCATGTGTTCGGTTCTATTTGCCTGGGTTTTCTCCTGCTCAGTGAGTGGCCTCTCAGTTGCTGACACCTTCTTTTGATGCACCTGTGTGTTTGGTTCTATTTGCCTGGGTTTTCTCCTGTTCGGTGAGTGGACTTTCAGTGGCTGACACTATCTTTTGATGCACCGGCGAGTTTGGTTCTATTTGCTTGGGTTTTTTCCTGTTCCATGAGTGGCTTCTTAGTGGCCGACACCGTCTTTCGATGAACCTGCATGTTCGGTTCTGATGTGTTCGGTTCTTTTCCGCCTTTTGTTGTTCTGCTTTATTTATATTTTAAAAGGATATTAACAAGTTATGCTGGAATAATTTCTCCATACATAATATCAGCTGAGCTATAATTACCATTTTACTTTCTAATCTAAATGTCTTCTCTTTTCAATTTTCTTTTAACGATAGATATTTTTACTTTTACAGAAGCAAAATCTCTCTAGCTGATAATTATTAGTGTTAATGTTATACTATGATCCTCATTTAAAATAAGACAGGGCTGATACTTATAACTTCCACATGATTATTCAGTTATCTGCGTTTACAGTGAGACGCACACAATACCGACATCTTCAACACAATTATTCGGTTATCTACCTTTACAGTGAATCACACAGGATACCGACATCTTCCACAGAGTTATTCGGTTATCCGCCTTTATAGTAAGTCACACACGATACTGACATGTTCAACACAATTACTCAGTTATCTGCATTTACAGTGAGTTACACACAATACCGACACCTTCAACACAGAAAGGTTATCCGCCTTTACGGTGAGTCACACATGATACCTGCCAACATTGTCCACACCGTTATTCGGTTATCCACCTGTACGGTGAGTCACACACAATACCAACATCTTCCACACAGTTATTCGGTTATCCACCTTTACAGTGAGTCACACAAAATACCGACATCTTCCACACAGTTATTCGGTTATCCACCTTACAGTGAGTCACACACGATACCGACATCTTCCACATAGTTATTCAGTTATCCGCCTGTACAGTGAGTCACACACGATACTGACATCTTCCACACAGTTATTCGGTTATCCGCCTTACAGTGAGTCACACACGATACTGACATCTTCCACACAGTTATTCAGTTATCTGCCTGTACAGTGAGTCACACACGATACCGACTTCTGCCTTTACAATGAGTCACACATGATACCGACAACTTCCACACAGTTATTCAGTTATCTGCCTTTACAGTGAGTCACACAAAATACTGACATCTTCCA